TTTTTTTGGTGGAAATGCCTCTCCACAACCAAAACATTTATTAAATTAGGTAAAATTATTTTCTGCTTTTAGTTTTAACTAAATTTTTTAAAATAATTTAAAAATAAAAAACGAGCATTCATTTTGCCCGGGTAATGAAAAACCAACCAAAATTTTTTAGGGTAATTTCTTATATGATTCCTTAATTTTTTTAGTATTATTATCCAACAAGGCAAGAATTTAATTTTCGCCTTGCTACTCGTTAATTGCAATTAGATTTCAGGGGAGGTAATAGGTTAATTCTTTCGCCGGAGAGCGAAATAATGTAAATTATAATAAATAAATATTTTTAATTATGACAAAAGGAGAAAATGTAATTAATTTTGCCGTTAACGAATTGGTTAACGATGCCGAATTTGGTTTTGCTATCAAAGTGTTTGAAACAGATAACGGAGAAAATTACAATTGTCATCATTAATTTTGGTTTTGTCAAAAATGAGGTAAGTTTCTTGGCCATTTTTTATTTTCTCGTCCAAGTTGCCAGCGGCCCACTCTACAAAGTCAGGCTCGTATTTGTTTGGCCCAGCAAAAAAAATGAAATTCTTTTCTTTCCCCAAAATCGTCGTTAAATCAGTAGTTAGAGAAGGCATCATGCTTCGAATAAAAGGACCGCCATCAGTGCAACATTCCCCAATACTAATCATCACTCCCCCCTGCTTTATTTCCTTTCCCAAATTAAACACGAAATACTTTTGTAACTCTAATCTTTTTGGACCAAGCCACTCCTCAGTAATTACTCTGTCCGTTTTAATCCTTTGCCTAAGTTTTATAGCCACTCCTACAATAATTATAACCCCTATTATTCCAACAATTACCAAGGTTTTTCCCCAACTGTTTTTTTTTTTTTTTTCATTATTATTCATTTTTATTATTCTTCTTAAATTGTTTTAAGAGTCATTTTAAAAATTCGCTAATTCTGGTTCTAATTCGGCAGCCAATTTCAGAACCAACTCGTCTTGGCCGTAAGCGCTGTTGAGATTAATGCTAACTGGTAATCCGTCGATGGTCCCCAAAGGCAAACTTAGCGAGGGCAAGCCGGCTAAATTGCCTAGGAGCAATAAATTATCGCTCCAATGGGAAGATATTAGTCCGGCTAAAGAGTGGTCGAAATCCGCAATCCGAGGGGCAGGACTATTAGTGCTGGGAAAAATTAAAAAGTCGTAACTACGAAAGACTTTTTTTAATCAACCATCTACTAAATAACGCATTTTTTGGGCTTTTTCTAGCAATCCTTTTTCGGCTAGAAAGTAAGCTCCGATTAATAACCGCTCTTTAACTATTGGTCCTAAATATTTACTTCTTTTTTGGGTAATACCAAGCTTCTCAGAACGTCCGTAAGTTATTCCTTGGAGAGAGTTGAGGTGACTAACTAATTCTGTTGAACATAAGATTAAGTAAGTAAGTTGTAAGTTATCCCGGAGGCGGGGAGGAATATTTATTTTGGTAATACTATAACCCAATTTTTCCAGTTTTTTTTGCACCTGTTCGTATAATTTATTTAATTCGGAGGGCAAAAATTTTTCTAGCCCGTTAATGGTGGCAATTTTTGGCCGGTCAACGTGCCGGAAAAATTTTTTTTTCCTCGTGCTAGTTATTAAGTCGTGAGGGTCTGGTTGAGCCAAAATCGCAAAAATTTCTTGGGCGGTGCTTACCTTATTGGCTAGAATACCAATCGTGTCGAGGGAAGAAGCCATGGGAATAACCCCATAACGGGAAATCAACCCGTAAGATGGTTTAAATCCCACTATTCCGCAATAAGCCGCTGGTCGTCGCACCGAGTCGCCAGTATCATGTCCCAAGGCAAAAGGGACAGTTTTTTTGGCGACTACTACCGCCGAACCGGACGAGGACCCCCCCCCACTACCCGTTGGGGATGATGGGGATTAGAAATTGGTCCGGTTGCCGCGTAAAGCCCCGCTCCTCCGCACGCAAACTCGTCCAAAGCCGTTTTTCCTAGTAATTGATAGCCTTGTTTTTTTAACAATTTAATCACGGTCGCGTCTTGACCGGGCCAAAAATTAACTAAAAAAGCCGAAGAAGCCGTAGTTGAAAAATCCCGTGTTCAAAAATTATCTTTGGTTAAATAAGTTTTCAACCACTCTCCAACCAAATTAGGACTTTTTCTGGCCGAAACAATGCTTTTTCAAATTAGATTTTCCTTGCCCAATACCATTTATTAATTTTGTATTCACTCTTATTACAAATGCAAAACGACTGCCAGCCTAATTTAGTCTAGTTTCTAGTATTCAAGGGATTTGGTTGAATAAATAACTGACAAATTTTCCGCATAGTATAATAATCAGTTAATTTTTCTTTTTGCTCTTGGTTGGGGTACAAGCGATATTTAAATGATTTAGGCATGATTTTCTCCTTGGCTTTGA